CATTTTCAGTCATTTCCACCTACAATTGATGCTACCACCCCCCAGCTACCCACAATGTAAGAAAATATTCAACAAATTTCACTCCTTGCAAACTAAATCAAAATCATAACCCAAACCGAATCCATCATTAAATCTTTGTAAATCGAAACATAAAATGCAAAGAGGAGATACACATACCTAGACAAAATGTCAGAAGGAAGAGGAGGAGGCGGATCTGTGGCGAAGAAGATGTTAATGGCAGAGGAAGAAGAAAATGTTAATGGCGAAGGAAGAAGAAGATGTAAAGGAATGAGGAAGAAGAAGAAGTACAGGAAGAAAAAGATGTAGACGAATAAAAAGATGCAGAATAAGAAGAAGACGTAGACGAAGCTTAGAAGAAACAACAACCAAGGGAGGGATGCGTTAATGGCGGGAGGAAGAAGAAGAATATGTTTGGGTTTGTTTGCAAGAATTTTGGCTCTTTACGGACATATTATAATTTTTAAAAGATTACACAGTACTTCATTAATCCTAATTAACTACTAATCATGTTTAATTAACCTTAATCAATAATAAGGCTATTTACTTAACACTTTTAAACTACATGGCCTTTTAATTAAATTTGAACTTGATTTGGTTGGCCTTTAATAAAATGCCCCTATTTATAAATTTTTTTTATTTTAATTAGTTTTATATTTAATTTTATAATGGAGAATTAGACGGGGATTATTAAACTCATCCCCTCCTTATATTAATATGGAGATTTAATTTGTCCTCTAAATACACATATCCCCAATTCTCCACGTGTATCGAAATCCGTGGTATATTTTCTCCTCCCTAAATTTACAAATAAATGCAATATTCTTTTTTTTCTTCTTTAAACGGGATGTAAAAAAAAAAAATTAAAAAAAATGAAATATTAATATACGCTCGTTCCGTTTATTCTAACACAGCACCGTTAAAAGTAGAGTCGTTGTAGTGGAGGTTGGGGGCATTTTGCCATTTTATAGAAACAACCGAAACGAAACCAAGTCTCCAGTTTCGGCTTGCGGTCGCCGTATCAACAAGAGAAAACAGAACAAACGATTCCGTCGAGTCGAGAGTAAGTAATCTGTATTCTTTGTGGTTTGACTTTTTTCTTTTATGCCAAAATGGGTGAGTCTGATACCCGAAACCTTCGAAACATATGCATATTAGCACATGTAGATCATGGTAAAACAACACTTGCTGACCATCTAATTGCCGCCACTGGTGGTGGTTTACTCCACCCAAAACTAGCCGGTAAGCTTAGGTTTATGGATTATCTTGATGAGGAACAAAGGCGTGCTATTACAATGAAGAGCTCTTCAATTGCTCTTTATTATAAACACTATTCAATTAACTTGATTGACTCCCCTGGTCATATGGACTTCTGTAGTGAAGTCTCGACCGCTGCCCGTTTGAGTGACGGTGCCTTGGTTTTGGTTGATGCTGTTGAGGGTGTTCACATTCAGACTCATGCTGTCTTGCGTCAGTCTTGGATTGAGAAGTTGACGCCATGTTTAGTGCTTAATAAGATTGATAGGTTGATTTGTGAGTTGAGGTTAAGTCCAATGGAAGCTTATAATAGGTTATTGAGAATTGTTCATGAGGTTAATGGGATTATGAGTGCGTATAAGTCAGAAAAATATTTGTCTGATGTGGATTCTATACTCGCGGGGCCTTCCGAGAAGCTGGGTGATGAGAATCTTGAGTTTATAGAGGATGATGAGGAAGATACATTTCAACCCCAGAAGGGGAATGTAGCATTTGTCTGTGCATTGGATGGATGGGGTTTTACAATTAGTGAGTTTGCTGAATTTTATGCTACAAAGCTTGGAGCTAGTGCCGCTGCATTGCAGAAGGCTTTTTGGGGTCCTCGGTATTTCAATCCAAAGACGAAGATGATTGTAGGGAAGAAGGGGATAGGTACAGGGAGTAAAGCACGGCCTATGTTTGTACAGTTTGTGCTTGAGCCATTATGGCAAGTTTACCAGGCTGCTTTAGAGCCAGATGGGGATAAAGCAGTCCTTGAGAAAGTGATTAAATCGTTTAATTTGTCTATACCACCTCGTGAGCTTCAGAACAAGGATCCAAAAGCTGTACTTCAATCGGTTATGAGCCATTGGCTTCCGTTGTCAGATGCAATCTTGTCAATGGTAGTGAAATGTGTGCCAGACCCAGTTTCTGCTCAATCTTTTAGTATTTCACGTTTGCTTCCAAGGAGAGAGATTTTAGATAATAATGTTGATAAAAATGTACTTATGGAGGCAAATCTTGTGAGGAAGTCAGTTGCGGCCTGTGATTCAAGCTCTGAAGCGCCATGTGTTGCTTTTGTTTCCAAGATGTTTGCTGTCCCAATAAAAATGCTGCCTCAACGAGATTCAAATGGGGAGATTTTGGATAATTATTCTGAGAAAGGCGGAAATGGTGGATCAGATGAGTGCTTCCTTGCATTTGCTAGGATCTTTAGTGGAGTTCTTTATTCAGGGCAAAGGGTTTTTGTGCTTTCAGCTTTATATGATCCATTAAAGGGGGAATCAGTGCAGAAGCATATACAAGAAGCGGAGTTGCAGTCCTTATATCTAATGATGGGTCAAGGCTTGAAACCAGTGGCCTCTGCCAAGACAGGGAATGTTGTGGCTATCCGAGGCCTTGGTCAGCATATATTGAAGAGTGCAACTCTTTCGTCTACAAGAAACTGTTGGCCTTTCTCAAGTATGGTATATCAGGTTTCACCCACTTTAAAAGTTGCAATTGAGCCAACTGATCCAGCAGATATGGGTGCTTTGATGAAAGGATTGAGGCTTCTGAATCGTGCAGATCCATTTGTAGAGGTTACTGTTTCATCTAGAGGGGAAAATGTGCTTGCTGCTGCAGGAGAGGTTCATCTAGAAAGATGCATAAAGGATTTGATGGAGAGGTTTGCTAAGGTAAGCTTGGAAGTCTCTCCACCTCTTGTGTCCTATAAAGAGACCATTGAGGGTGAGGGTGAGGGTGAGTCATGTTTTCCATTAGAGAATCTGAAATTATTAAGTGGGAGCTCTGATTATGTTGAGAAGATGACTCCAAATGGCAGATGTGTTGTTAGAGTGCAAGTCATCAAACTTCCTCTTACAGTGACTAAGTTGCTTGATGAATGTGCTGATTTGCTTGGTGGTATTATTGGAGGGCAAAGCATCAAAAGCTTGGAAACCCAGAGATCAAGCATTGATGTGGAAGATAATCCAATTGAAGCTGTCAAACGGCGCATAATGGATGCAGTGGAGAATCATATTTCCTCTGGGAATGAGAATGACAAGGATCGAGTGGAGAAATATAAAGCACAGTGGCAAAAGTTTCTTAGAAGGATTTGGGCACTTGGTCCAAGGCATGTTGGTCCTAACATCCTCTTCACGCCAGATTATAAAAGAAAGAATACTGATTGCTCTGTTCTTATAAGAGGTTCTGCTCATGTGTCTGAGAGATTAGGCTTTCTGGATGATGCTAATGATGGCAATAATGATGCTGATTCATCTGCTGTGACATTGTTGGCAGTTACTCAAGCTTCATCATTGCGCCAAGAAGCAGAGAGTCTTGAGAGCAGCATAGTTTCTGGATTTCAGCTGGCTACTGCAGCTGGCCCCTTATGTGATGAACCAATGTGGGGATTGGCATTTGTTGTTGAGGCTTTCATCTCTCCCTTGGCAGGGCAAGCTGATGAGCCTGAATCTTTACAACAATCTGAGCAGTATGGCATCTTCTCTGGGCAGGTTATGACAGCCGTTAAAGATGCCTGTAGAGCAGCTGTGCTGCAGAAGAAACCCCAGCTTGTTGAGGCCATGTATTTTTGTGAGTTGAACACCCCAACTGAATATTTGGGCCCTATGTATGCTGTGCTTGCTCGAAGGCGAGCCATAGTCTTGAAGGAGGAAATGCAGGAAGGGTCTTCACTTTTTACTGTTCATGCTTATTTGCCGGTCTCCGAAAGTTTTGGTTTCCCTGATGAGCTTAGGAGATGGACTTCGGGAGCTGCAAGTGCCCTTCTTGTCCTTAGTCATTGGGAAGCACTTCCAGAGGATCCTTTCTTTGTCCCCAAAACAGAAGAGGAAATTGAAGAGTTTGGAGATGGTTCTAGTGTGCTTCACAATACAGCAAGAAAGCTCATTGATGCTGTGAGGCGACGGAAGGGCCTCCCTGTGGAAGAAAAAGTAGTGCAGCATGCAACAAAGCAGAGGACCTTAGGTCGTAAAGTTTAGTAATTAAACCCAGTTGAGCTGTATTAGAAATTGTATGACAGAATTAACATCGATTTTGCAGTGAAGAGATTATAGTGTATAAGAAAATTTCTGTTTTGAGTTTGATTGATTTTCAGATTTTTTTTTATTTTTTTTTTTTCCTTTTGCCCTTTTCCAATTCCATTCAATATGCATGCAGCTCTTCAATATTGCTGCTTTTTTTAGATTAAGCTCTGTACTTGTAATATTGTGCTTCTTGTGTAAATGAGTAATTGAGCTTTAATATTGTACTTGTTATACCTATTAAACTTGTTGTGGATTGTAAAAGAGTTTACTTTATACAATGGGACTTCACATACTGAGAAATGAGTGTATAACTTAGTAATTTCCAGTAAATTCATGCTGCACCTAATCTCACAATTGGAAGTTTTGCTTAATTCATTAATTATTGAACACCTTTTATTTGTTTTAGATGCACAGTAACACCGTTTCTGTAAAAAAGCTTTTAACATGTTATTTTAGAGATAAAGAACAGAAAGAGATCGTTTGTTATTGTAGAATCAAACACTTAAATAATAAGCATTTGCGGTAATTCTTGGTGCAAAATAGCTTCTCTTATCATGATTGTTAATATTGTTGTGTGTTAAGAGTGTTCAAGAAGATGATGAATTTAACATTCAAGTACAGTTCATAAAAATTTTATCAAATGGACTGGTAAACAACTTTTATGAAAGATTCAACCCAATCTTCTGTAAGATGAAACTAATACTTCTCCAAAGCTGAGTGACAACTTGTCTCCAAAAATTCTTTAGGTTAAGCAAATGTTAAGTTCACATTCACATAAATACAATTACAACTATGTTTTCAGCAACTATCAATTAATCAGATACATGGGAAGCAATCTCTGTATTGCAGTTTGACAAAAATTATAACAAAATGCTCTTTCACAATCCATAACAAGTTTAAAAGGTATAACCAAACCAAGCACAAAAGATGACAAATCCAAAAAGTCCAGAAACTTGTTATGGATTGACAACTGTAAGCTGTCTGATAACTTTCTGATGGAAGAATAATAATAAAACTTGACACTGCACCTTACGATAACAAAACATCTTCATAAACACCACCTACGAGCATAAAGCCAGGCGGATAAATAAAATGGTCACTCTCACCACCATCAGTCAGTCAGCATCAAAGGTGTTCACCCCTATTATAATAAAACAGCAGTGAACTTTGTTGATGAAGCAAGGTGTGTATGCAAGACAATGGCTACTCTGTCAACATGACCATATACCACTACTTTACAAATGGCACCCCAGAAAGAACTCGCTGGGCATATTCATCATACTTTGGCCCAAAAAACTGTCTCAAGAAATATTCTTCATATGGTATCCGCTCGTGAAAAAATTTCCATACAATAATTGCAAATCCAATTGTGGAGATGGGATTACACAGCATTATCTGGGTGCCAACAGACCAGATGAGGAAACCGCAGTATCCAGGATGGCGTATAAAGCTATAGACTCCATGAGTAACCAGTTGGTGGTGTTCCTCATGGTAGATCTTAATTAGATGTGTGAAGGCTCGACCAGCTGTTATAATAGCCATTTTCCTAATGATTTCCCCAATTATAACCATCGTAAGACCTACATTGCTTATCCACCAGTATTCCTTCAAGCCAGGGAAGAAAAAAATTTCCACCAAGTACTCTACTATTGAGAGCACCATTGCCAAAAGATAGTATTTGCTAATCAAAAGTGATTTAAGAGTAATATTTGAACTACCGTGAAAGGCAATTGCTAAAACATATTCAGAACTATGAAAGAATAAAACTGCGAAGAACATCTGAGATAACTGTCTGCAAGCTGTGTCACTGAAAATCTCTGCCATTCTCGTCTAACAAAGAGTCGAATTTCTTTCACTAGTTTACAATACACACGGGTAGCAACAAAGTTACTGGAATTTTTACTTGAGACTTGACATGTTGAATGCATAGCAATACAACATCAATACTGAAATTTGAGTCTCAATATCACCAAAAATTCTTCATGTACAACAGCCGCTGCATTTGATAGCTTAATGGGTAAATTAGCAAAAACAAGATCACTGAAAACACAGTTTATTTCAATTGCATATCAATAACTGGTATCCCCTAACAGAGAGAAACTTGTTTAAAAGCCCACTTCTTTATAATTTCTAATAACATATAGAGGATCAACTATTATTTCTAGCATACAGTAATTGCTGAAAACATAAGAGAATAAGTATCAGATCATGATGCATTAGAAATTTGAACTTAAACTAATTGCTAATAAATCGACCAAATAGAATATGCGTGTTTGATAAAAGAGCGAGAGTTTCAGACCTTGTGGTTCGCTTCGCTTAATCTTCCACCAAAGACTTCAACAGAGGTTTACTTTGTGATAAAAATTAGTTAAATTAGACTTTATAGAGTTAGGGTTAATAGTATATCATTATGTCCTTTGAATTTGAATTTCATAAGTTTATATTCTTAATCATATATAAAGAGAAGACGAGAGAGAGAAAGAGGGAGTGCTGTTTTCATCTATATCAATATCAAAAACTAAGCTTATATTTATAGGCCATTAAATGAATCAAGTATCTACAGCAATGGGATCCACTTTACTACTATTTAATTGATTAACTTCTGAAATTATATATAATAAGAAAAAAATTAATTTAAGAATGTTGCTGCCCAGGATCGAACTGGGGACCTTCAGTGTGTAAGACTGACGTGATAACCACTACACCACAGCAACGTTTGTTTAATTTATATAACTATTTTTTTTTTTGTTTTTAATTTTTTTTTTTGTTTTATTCTAATTAAACACAGAGAAGAGTTTCCAAGAAATTTCCTTCTAGGTTATATCTGTCCTGGCCGGCCCCCCACCCACATTATTCACAAGATATGGTTTAAGAAATGAATTATGAATATCAAGCTGTAGTAATTATATAACCACCACAAATGTTACCATCTTACTTTGGTCCTTTTAAAGAAAACTCAACCATATACAGATTTTTCATGTATATTCACAATTACCTTCGAAGGAATAATACAACATTTACTAAAACTATGTAAAGTTTGGTCATTATCAAATTTTTCTTACATTTTAAGATTTGCAAAGGAAGAATTAAAAACAAATAAAAAGAAAAGGCCCCTAACTTCTTCTGTATCAGCTAGCTGTGGACTGTTGTTGTAAGAAATGGCAAGAATTGCAAGAACTTGCATCCAGTCGTTCCTGAAAGCTGTGAATTTGGTAATGGGAATGGTTGGTATTGCCATGATCCTTTATGGTTTATGGATGATCAGAGTCTGGCAAAGAGACATGGAAGATTCATCCTTTGAGGATTTCAACTCTACTGCTCCATGGTAATCTTCAGCTAGTTAATTCTCTCCCATATTTACTTGTGTTTTCAGTTAAATTAAGCAAACACTCATTTTTCTGAAGATTCCGATGGTTTGAATATTTGCAGACGACAGGTTTTTCGCTTGAACAGAATAGAAATGGTTCTTTTTTGTGTTGATTTACCAACATTGTATAAAAATTGCAGGTTTATATACACATTTCTTGGGATTGGTGTCTCCTTTTGCCTTATAGCAGGCCTTGGTCATATTGCTGCTGATAGTGCAAATGGATTCTGCCTTTCTTGTGTATCCTTTCTCAATAATTTGAAACAAAAACCCTTAAGTTGATGTTTTGAAATATTTGTTGATCTTGAATGAACAAAGTATATGGTGGTTATCCTTTTGCTTCTGCTTTTGGAGAGTGCTATGGCAGCTGATATTCTGCTAAATTCTGACTGGGAGAAGGTAACTCTTAACTTCATTTCTCAAAAATTCTCTAATCTATAGCAAGATTGTTAATTGATTTCATGTGTTATATAAGCAGGACTTACCTGCTGATCCAACGGGGAGGTTCCATGATTTCAAAGAATTCGTCAAGTCGAACTTCGATATCTTCAAATGGATAGGCTTTTCGATCATCTTAGCACAGGTTATTTATTTATGTTATACCATGAAGAGAAAAATGCAGAAAATTTTCCTTTATTGCATTGAACCATCTGTACTCTTAACAAAATTGCAGTCATTTTTTCACATGATTTATACATAAATGCTTTCGCCCTCTAACTGCTAGGGATCTTCTACACTATTAGCAATGGCTTTAAGAGGTCTGAGATCAAACCGAAGCTCCAACTGTGATAGTGATGATGAGTATCCTCCACCCAGGCTTCCACTCCTAAATCATCAAGTTCAAGCGCCTGCATTTGTCATCGGCGATCCCCACTTTCCTGCGAAGAATGACACTGTTAAACCCCCCACATATCCGTGGAATGTAAAGATCCATCTTTAACTTCCCCAGATTTTTATCTTAACCTTCTTGGATTCATTCTAAGAGCTTAGTACTGAGGTGGTTTTCTGAATCAAGTGCGTGGTTTTTTATTATCACTTGCAGGTAAACAAGTGAAGGGAGTAGCAAACTGGGGATGAGAGATTGTGAGAAATGCAACCATGATTGCAAATTTTGGTTTCAAGGCAAAACTTGACAATGAGATAAATAATAGATATTGCCTGGAGCTACTGGACTATGATTTAAACAAATGCTAACAGTTTTAATATGTGCCTTGTGTTGTGTAATTGTACTTTTAAGTTTCCTTTTGTATTTGCAATTTTGGAGTAATCACATTTACTTGTTAAGATTTTGCTTATTTTAATATGATCCAAATGAAAATTCTCAATTGGGTCACATTACTAGGCATAAGATGAAATTTAGGTTTTTTTCTTTTTTTTTTATAAACCCGACAATTGCTTCTTTTACAACTCGGACACAAGACTACTAAGTATAGCTAATCCAAAAGAGAGGAGAGGTAATTTAGGCCAAATCAGAAGATAACAAATTTGTGTTTTCCCAATTTAAAATGGTTCAAATTTTATTGATAAACTTTGGTTGAATCTTTTGGCAAATTAGAAAAGCACCAAATAACATGGTCCAAATTTTTTAAAAAAATGAACGACAGTGATTTTTTAGATACTTTTTCAAATCTATTGTTTGTACAAAGTAGAAATCAAAAATTTGAATTTGAATTTGAATTTAAGAGAAAGAACACTTATCTTTCACAATGGAATCTAAAAAGTGAGATTTCAAATTAGTGTTTACATAAGTTTCTTCTATCGACACATCTAAGATTGACAAATGTTTATGAGTTTCTCCATTCAATCAATTTTTTTCCCATCTCGTTCAACAGATATTCTCCACTAAGAACATAAAACAAAACCATAAACAAATATTGAAATGAGAACAATAAACTATGCCAATACCAATTGGTTGCAGCATTCCTTTGTTTCAAAAGTTACATCAGTGAAATGTCCTTTTCGTCAAATCCGATAACAAATGTTGTTTGATCCACACGGGAGATCAAGAGCAAAAATGGTAGTATCCCACAATTCTGCTACAAAAATCAGCAAACAGGAAGAATTGTGTAAAACTACATAGGTGACTCGGTTCTTTTCAGTCTAATGCTACATTCCTCAAGAATTATACAAACAATAGCATTAAAAATAAATAATGAAGTAACTCACTTTGACTAAGGGCACAAAAGAATGACTGAAAGGTAAACCTAGGGCACCTATTCACATTTCTTCATTGCTGGTGCCTTTCTCTTCATCCGGCTAAAAGGTCCAACCGTTCTGTCCATAATATACATATAAATAACCTGGCTCCAAGATTTATATGAGGCCAAACCTTCGTAATACTCCGGTGCAATCTCCCTCACCTTGTGAAGCCTGTGTCCCGGAATTCTCGGGAAATCATGGTGCTCATTATGGTACCCCACATGCCATGTTAGTAGATTCATGGGGCCATAGTAAGAATAAGTTTCTTGGTCAGGCTTGAAAATATAGTGTTCTGAGATGAAGTGACCAGCCATTGGGTGCATCCCACCACCAACAAATGTGGAAAGGATCAAATAAGCAAGAGATTTCCAGCCCCAAAAATGAACCATGGCCATGTCAAGAGATATCTGAATAGTGAAGTTAAGAAATTCCCAAAAACCAGGGGGCTTTGGTTTGAGAAACAAAGGTCGGAAAGCATAGAAGAAGAGTTGGAAGATCACCCATATGGATTTTGCAACTACATTTTTCACAAGATGGGTTTCAGTGAGGCTTGGAATGTCCATGTCAATGCCATCCACTCCTTGAAAACGATGGTGCTCAAGGTGATACTTTTGAAATGTGACGGACATGGGCACACCAATAGGAAGGTTGGCAAATATTCCAAGCCAACGGTTGTAGACTGGAGTAGAGAAGGCCAGATTGTGGCTGAGCTCATGGATGGCCAAAAAGAGATTGTGGTTGAGAAAAGAGCCAAAGAAGTAGGATATTGCAAGGATCTTCAACCAGCCTGCATTGCGGAGCAAAGTAGCAGTTCCAAGCTGAAGCAGAACAACAAGAGTAACCTGCAACACCACAACATTAACCGACATTTATATAATCCAAACCACCTATAGCTGATAAAACCATTTAAACTTCCAACCCAACAAGTCCTTTAACAGAGATTAACAACAGACTCATTTATACAAAAAGATTTGCGCAGATCAATGCAGCACTCGCAAATGAAAAAAAAAAAAAATACTCAAAAGTATGTAAGGTTAAGATATCAATAAGCTTACTTGCGTACACTTTATCAAGAATTGGGCAAAAACATTAGGAAACACATAAATCATGTTTAAATAGATAAACTAATAGATCCTAATACTTTATAATTTGAAATGTGAACCGCTGAAGCTACTTCATATAATTTTGCTTCAGCCTAATCCACTTGTCTAGCATTGAAAAGAAAAAGTTAAAATGAAACAGATAATTAGGAAATTAGAACATATAATTGAGTTCAATCTCAATGAGATCAGTTAGGAACAAAATTTAATAATCAGAAATTAAAAAGAGCATTTTTTGTCCAACAAAATATGAAGAAAAGAAAGCAAATGTACATCATATAAATTAGCAAATTGGTGTAGATACAATGGAGAGATACAGAACAGTCGAACAACGAGAGGAAGAACCAAAACAAAAACACTTTGAATTGTATATAGAAATAAAATAGAAACCCAGAGATCCATCGAGTCAAAAACCAACGCAGGGAATTAAAAAAGAAAAATAAAAAACAACCCATCCAATCGACCCACATTATAACTGGAGATCAAAAATATCCAAAGAAGAGAAAAAGAGAGAGACCTTGAGAAGAGCCCAAGGGTCAGGGCCAAAAAGCTCTTTAATCTGAGGGTACTGAGAGAGGATCTGACGTCTCCGAGAAGCATGAGGCTCATCTGTATAAGACCAGAAAAAATCAGTAGCCATTACTCCTTCCTTCTCCTCTCTGTCTTCACCTCTTCCTAATCCCATCTTCTCAGTGTCTCAGAAACCTTTTTTGAAAATATGAGTTGTTATCCTCGTTGTATTGGTTATATATGGAGAAAAGGAAAGAGAGTGAGTGAGTAAAAATAGTAAATGGACCAAGTTGTCCAGTTTACAGCTGGGGTTTGGTTTTGTTTTGTTTCGTTTCGCCAACTGTTTTTCAGACGAACGTGACCATAGACCGCGTTTTCATCTCCCTTCTCTCTACTTTTTATTTTTTATTTTATTTTTAATGGCTAATTAAGTCTAAAAAAATTGTCCTTTCCGGGAAAATTGATATGATTATTTATATATCATTTTTCCTCAAGAAAAACCTGTTGGGTGTAGTGTTGCCAACAGACCATTGTTTTCTTTTCTAAAATCTCCAAATTGTTCTCTATTCTCATTCAACAGGACTCCAGCGATCTCATATTCACAAAGATCACTGCTACAAACTATAAAAAGAGCGGATAAATTGGTAGCAAGAAGTAACTATATGTATTCCCCGTGTAATTACAAGCATTTACTTAAAAAAGCTCTGAGACTGAGATTAACAATTTGTACAAAGTAACAGTAGATGCTCAACACCATAAAAGAAGAAGCAGAGCAAGTTGAAAAGCTTTTCGTAAGAGAACTTCAACCTATACAATCATGTACAAATGCGCTAAATACAATTTTTTTATCAACCACTTTCCTAAATAAACTATCTCAACTTCACCCACCAGCGTTACAATATCTCAGGCTGGGTTCTTCTTAACAGAAGCGGGAAGAAAGTCACTGTTGCTCTTTGTTACCTACATTTTGCCGAATGAATTTCGGTCCTTATGTAACTAAAATGAAATGGGAGGAAATTACTCATTCAAGGGCAAGAGAATGTACTTATCATCATCGGCTATCTTAGGTGGGAATCGTAAGCATCAAAAAGGTGATCAGGAACAATCAGTGGCAACTTGTCAATATACATGAAGAGCCTTCTAAGATTCTCCCTGGTCACCGTTGCCATATCGATTATGTCCCTGCCATCTGTATATACCCAGAGATCACAAGAGTTCACTCGCCTCAGACTGTCACGACAAAAGGGGCATGACTGCGACCTTGTTCGCCTGCAATTTGAGGTAACACATATTTATTCCATTCAAATCAATTAAGATGTTACAAACAGATAGATAAAGGCTGTAATAATTGGGCAACAAAAAAAATCAATTCAGCAATACCAAGTACTATGCCCTAAGCAAATAAATGTTGCATGTGTATTAAACATATGCTTCCAACTATCTCTGAAGTTATTGCAATGGTATAACTCCAAAAGATAAAAAACCAGGGACTAACTAATCTGTCCAGTTCAAATACAGCAATTAATATTTTCAGCCACCTTCCTGTACCTACTATACGCTCACACACATATAGACAATCCAATAATCTACAGAAACAGCAACCAGAATTGCATCCAGAACTCTAATTTGACAACCCACCGGTGATGGTACAAAGAATATTATATACACAAGTTCAACAGAGGCGAAATAAAGTTCAATATTTGAGAGAGCAAGAATACTCGATCACAATACCAACAACAAGAAGTCAGAAAGAAATTCCATAGCTACATGAGAAAACAGGAAAATTTTCTCCATATACCCACAAAATATAAAATAAAAAATAAACACAGATATAACAACACTCAATAAACCTGGAAAATGATAGAACATCTATAGTGTTTTGATTGTGACAGATTCAACCCAATGGATGCTGTCAACAATTAATTTCTATTTGGGGTATTCTGTAGATTATTTCACATCTATATTCACCATACTTAATTGTACAGCTTTTGTCTTCTTAAGAGTAGTTATTTTATTTTTGCAATTAATTTAACATCGTTTTGTCCCGTCCTGTATATATTTTCAGAATGCTCTTCAAAGTCAGAAAACGATTAGTTAAAAAAACCAGGAATTTAGTCTTTAACAGAATGCATAAACAAATTTTATTTTATTTTTTTCAAACAGGCATTATGTGCAGACCTAATTATTGGTTGCCACCAAATTACTGATAAAATTCATGCATCCATCATCCAATGTAAAATTAGAATAAAATGCTGCCACATCTTATTAAATAGGAATTGAAGGTAGAAACTCACCAATAGATATGGCAAATTCATTAAAGGACAAAACCATTGCTTAAACTAATTATCTAGTATCACCTCAAGAAGTTCACACAATGCTGCAAGTTCAGTTTTCAGTTATCACTTGCAACAATGCTTTCTTCACTTTACCCTGATTAAGTAACATTCACATTGACATAGTGCGTGTATATATCAAATTAAACAATTCGGCTTCAATGAGACATCCACAGCACCATCATGTAAATTAATTGTGGTCAACATATTAGATGACCGTAAATCCCATAATCATACAATGCCACAAGGTATTTGCCGAATTTCAAAAACACGGACGAGTGAACAAGACAAAGAAAGAAAGAAAGAAAGAAAGAAGACATACCATTCACGGTAACATTTCAAGCACATGGCATGATTGCAGTTGGGCAACACAATCTTACTATTCATCTCCATGCATATTCCACACTCTTCTTCTCTTTCAATGTCTACATCTGTATGTTGCCTGTAATCCTCCTCATCTCTTCTTCGGTATCTTTCCATGCACACAGCCTTCTGCTTCTTATCTTCGGTATCCGTAACACCTCTTTGAAGTTGCAATATAGAGGGATAAATTACCGCTGATCACAGCAAGAATCTTATTTCAGTAAAATAATACAGCCCCAACGCCACTTAAATCAGTAAGTGAACCACAAAAAAATCAGAACACATAAAAATGTACCATAGAACTCTCTAATGCTTGCTTTTCTTTCATGAGTAGACATGGTGGTTGTTCCATCTACATAAACCTGCAAAACTGCTAAGGTTAGCAAAATATCTGTCATCAAAAAAATAATTAATAATAAAAAATAAAAAAATAAAAGAAAAAAGAAAACCTTGTAAATTAGTATTCTTAACAGTCCAAGGGCTCCAGCTAGGTTGCAGTCTGTCCACTGCACTAAAAACAGGAACAAGTGTGCAGCTGGACTGTATGACATTCTCATCTGAAGGCAGGCACCATCATACTCCCTCGGAAAATCTGATGCCCTGCAAACCACATTGAAGGAGAAGGACAAGAAATCAAAATGAATCAAAATTATCCTGAGTAAGCTACAACATAATGTACATATCAGATAGATAACCTATAGTAACTATGTATATTCAAAGAAGTTCTCATTTGAATCATCCAACTTGAAGACACCACCCCGCCTCTTAAAGCTTAAAATTGCAACATTTCTAGAGAAAATTAGCCAGCCAATATTTGTAGACATTAAACATTAAAGTTTCTAACACTGAATATCAAAATTACAGCTCTACTTGAATTACTGAGAAACATAGTAAAAAAACAGGATAATTTACAAGCTGGGACCAGAAGATGATTATATGACCCTCAACGTCCATCTCCCAATACAATGTAACAACCGCATTATTAAGTGGAACCCATTTGGCCACGTGAAGTCAGCTGAATACAATCTATCAAGATAACGAAAATGACCCACACTAGCACCTACAGACTGATAAAATCTACAATAAATCAAAAGCAGTTCAGCACTGGATTCTCTTTTCTAATTGAAAAATATCAATACCACTCAAAGTAAGAAGCAACTCTAATAAAACAAGAACCAAAGCCCAGTACAATGAAAAAACATATAAAAACATAAACAGTCACTCCTCAAAAAAATTTATTAAAAAAAATAATAATAATCTTTCAACACATGCATAAACAATGCTCAATGAGGAAAAAGTAACTCAAAATCAGCAAAAATACCAGCTTTCTACAGAAAAAAACATTGTTTATGGGGAAAAAATCTAACTTGCAGGAACAAAATTTAAAAGAAGAGAAAAAACTAGACCGGATCACCCTAGGGTGATACACATTTAGAAGGGTAAAAATAGAAAGTCAAATTGAAATCAAAATCATAATCTAAGTATAAAAACAGAAATTTGACAATCTTTGAAGCCAAAAATTAAGCACCAATTACAAGAATAACACAATCCCACAAAGAAAAATCAAAATTACACACCCAGAACACATATTGTCAAAAAAAAAAAGAAAAAAACATACAGAGTATTAGCATGTTGAATATCGGCTTCAAGAACTTTAAGAGAATCCTTAAACGACTTTCGCATGGAACCCACGTACATCTCCAAGTAAAGAAGAGAAATGAAACCCAGAAAAAACCAGAAATAAAAGAATCAGAAGTTTGGAGAATGAATTGGGGTTTAGAAATAAGGGTGTATAAAAAGAGTGAAGTTGAAATGGGATTTTTTGGTTTCGGGCATTTGTTATTGGGATTGTTGGTGTAGGTGATGGTGTTGGTGGAACTTGTATTCGGTTCTTGAAAGCGACGAGAAGATAGAGAGAGAGTGACACGTGGAGTGGTGGGTTGTCTTGTCGTGGAGAGCCTTTGAAAAAACTTAAAAAAGAAGAAGAAGAGTTGAGGTGTGTGACAACAGCCTTATCCACTCCTCTATTTAATGTTGGTTTTGTCTCCCACTTTTACCTTTACTTTCGGTAGCTTTTCTTCCACGCTTTCGTATTTCCTCTTTCTCTTTTTTGCCCCTAATCTTTTCTTTTATTTCCCATTTCCTCCTCTCTTTTATTTCTTACTTTTTGGCCCTTTTTTGAAGTCCTTATTTAAATCATGTAGATGAATGGAGTATTTGGTTACTTAAAAGGAGAGAAATCTGAATTAAATACTAAAGTATTAATTGATTAACCTCAAACGATCAAGACGTTTGTTTTCGGGTTCAAATCTTAGAGTCATTAACTATAATAATATTATGACTTATCTTATTTTTAAGTTTATAGGGATTTAATGGATCTCGACAATTTGACTAGTTCAACACCTCAATAAAAAAATATTATATATATTAATTGATTTGGTTAGGGAGATTAATTGGTAAATTAAATAGAGTTGCTTGGGTATACATCAAAAGAATTAAAAGTGTTGTGCATCAATCAACCCTCTAACCATAAATTAATGTTTTAATTAGTGTATAATTATATCAACTATTAGAGGTCTAATAATCAATCTCTGTATTTTGATACCACATATGAGATGTCATAATTGATGGTTGTTCAAACTATATATTATTATTAGTATATAATTATATAACAAACTATTTTTTTTTTTAAAAAAAAACTTAAAATTTGAAGATTGTTAATTAGTACACAATTTAATTATATATTTAAATTACAAGAAATTATATTATCCATGAAATTTCGTAAATTACCATTTATAAAAAAAAAAAAAAAAAAAAAGTAAAGAATGTGGAAGAAAATGAAAGAAGAGGCCGTATGTTATCTGAAGGCAAGGTAATCAATAAATAACAAATTGATTTAGTTCAATGTTATTATGCAACTTTAACGCTTGTTGATGTTTATAACTTTGAGTTTTTACTCTAACTAATGTGAACTTGTCTTGACAACATAATACTATTTTTTATAACAATTTTACAAATTTTATTATTCTCTTGCTTTCTTTAAATAAACACTACCAAACAAAAATAACGCAACTAACTTTCTCTCACAAACGTGACGTGTCAATTTATAATTGATTAATTCATAATTAGTACAGGTTTGATTAAAAAGATACAGGAATGTGCTGTCCAAATGAATAATATCATGTCTCTAATAGCTTTTTACATAGTAATATTATTTGTACATACTCTTATATAAAGAGAGTTTGTACAAAGTGATGTGATACATCACATATGAGGACATATTTGGCAATTAATACATCTAACTTCAGAAATTATTTTATATATTTTAGGTATTATTACTTCATTTATTAAATAATAGTACGCATAAAGTTTTAGTTAGTTTTGTCAAGTCCGTATCCAGTCCACCACCCATTATGAGAATATTTATATTCCGGGTTCTAAAATATTATTGAATATTCTTCCTACTTCTTTCCAAAAACAAACAATTTTTATTAGAATTTTATATTAAAATATCTCTATTAATTTATTTTTCTCTCTTAGGATTAATTATTTTCAAATTATCATTCAAATATGTAAAACAAGCAATCACAAAAATCAAAACTATGTATTTTTCCTTTTATTCGTTAAGTTTTTTTTTTTTCCTCAAAGATTAATTTCAAAGAGACTTTTGTTATATGATTAAACCTTATGAGTGCGTTTAGTTCAAAGAATGTTGTATTAGTAAGAATATTATATTAATGAAATTATGGAAAGATAAATTATCTTGAAGATTACTAGGAATGTTTAAGAAAATCTGTTTGGTTGGTGAAATAAATTAGTGGATATGTTATATTAATATGTTTGGTTAAAATGAATAAATTTGTGGGTATGTTATATAGATTACTAAATTGCCCTCATTTTAAAATATTAATATATTATTATTTTTTCAACGATTTTTTTAACTCCCTATATTTGAGATTTTGCTAAAACACCCAACCACATAAAAGTTTAATTTTTAACAAAAACACCCCCACCCACTCAAGCCACTACCGGCCGCCTAAACCACAGTCGATTGTCGATCGGAAAGTGCAACAGAGATGTTCTTTGAGGGGTTTTGAAGAGTAGGTGAAGAGGAGTCTATTGGGGTAAGTGGGGGTGATTTCTTGTAGAAAATGCAACCGGAAAAGCACCGAGAAAAAGGGAAATCGCGAAAAAACAGTGGGCTTTGTCAACGATTAAGGGTAGCTATGGTGATGGGGTTTAGTGGGATTTGAAGAGGAAAACAAGAGGAGTAAGATGGTGGTGGTTGGGGCCGATAGTGATGCTGGAATCAACCTAAATCGGGCTTAATATCGGCAGCTAGTCAACCCAAAAAATCCCAAACCCAAGGTACAACCATTGATATAGCCAGAAAAGGCCATATCGGCGTATAACCGACTAGATCTGGTCAATCGTGTGCCATTCCGGCAACGTTGGCCGACAATAGTGGTGTTGGTGGCCGGCTGCAACAATCCTCTTGAGTGGCTTGTAAATTGTTTTAGAAATAAGGGCATTACTGTCCATAATTTTAATTATTTAGGGGTAAAATTGTAATGGTAGAGTTCATGTAAATTAATTTCAAAATAAAGGCATTATTGTCCAAAAATGTTAACAGTGAAGGGTAAAATTGTAACAAAAATAAGATTACCAAATAATCGTACAATACCTAAGAAAATTGAGGTAAGTAGATTACCTCCTATATTACTAAATACTATTGGTATTAGAAAATTATCAGAATCTTATATTACTTGACAACCAAACGTGGTAATAAAGTAAAATAAGATAATATTACCTCAATAATCCTATATAACTTCCAACCAAACACACCTTATAGGTAGAGAAAAACCCCTATAAAATAATTGTATGAACAGTTATTAAGTAATTGCTTATTAGTTAATAACTTAATATAATCGAACACACAGTTAAATTGAGTGACTATGACTTGTTCATCAAGAAAAACACATATACAAACTAATTTCTCTATTATTCTCTCTTCTACAAAACCTCAGCCCAAGCTTGGGCTTAGAAAATAAGGTACTGGCAATACTTGGGTCGTGTTGGGCTTTAGGCTAAGTGTATGATATGAAATTTTGTAAAATTCTTGCAAAATTGCATGCAACCCTCTTTATAAAATATAATAAAGAAAGTTGTTTGAAAAACCAGGGGTGTGCAAAAGAACTAGCCGAAACTGGCAAGTACCTGAGGTTTCGGTTCTGGTTCTTACCCAGAACCGAACCTCACAAGGTAGGTTCCATCTTTAGAAATCAAGAATCGACTGGTTTCGATTCCTAAACTGATTCCACCTTGCAAGAACCGGGAACCAAAANCTTCAGAAATTATTTTATATATTTTAGGTATTATTACTTCATTTATTAAATAATAGTATGCATAAAGTTTTAGTTAGTTTTGTCAAGTCCGTATCCAGTCCACCACCCATTATGAGAATATTTATATTCCGGGTTCTAAAATATTATTGAATATTCTTCCTACTTCTTTCCAAAAACAAACAATTTTTATTAGAATTTTATATTAAAATATCTCTATTAATTTATTTTTCTCTCTTAGGATTAATTATTTTCAAATTATCATTCAAATATGTAAAACAAGCAATCACAAAAATCAAAACTATGTATTTTGCCTTTTATCTGTTAAGTTTTTTTTTTTTTTTTTTTTTCCTCAAAGATTAAATTCAAGGAGACTTTTGTTATATGATTAAACCTTATGGGTGCATTTGGTTCAAAGAATATTGTATTACTAGAAATGTTATATTAATGAAATTATGGAAAGATAAATTACCTTAAAGATTACTAAAAATGTTTAGGAAAATGTGTTTGGTTGATGGAATAAATTAGTGGGTATGTTATATTAATATGTTTGGTTAAAAGGAATAAAGTGGGGGGTATGTTATATTGATTACTAAATTGCCCTCATTTTAAAATATTAATATAATATTATTTTTATTATTATTTTTTCAACGATTTATTTTAACCCCCTACATTTGAGATTTTGCTAAAACACCCAACCACATAAAAGTTTAATTTTTAACAAAAAAACACCCCCACCCACTCAAGCCACTGTCAGCCGCCTAAACCATCATCGATCATCGATCAGGAAGTGCAACAGAGATGTTCTTTGAGGGGTTTTGAAGAGTAGGTGAAGGGGAGTCTATCGATGCAAGTGGGGGTGATTTCTGGTAGAAAACGCAGCCGGAAAAGCACCGAGAAAAAGGGAAATCACAAAAAAACAATGGGCTTTGTTGGCAATTAGGGGTAGCTACGATGATGGGGTTTAGTGGGATTTGAAGAGGAAAATGAGAGGAGTAAGATGGTGGTGGTTGGGGCCAACGATGATGCTGGAATCAGCCCAAATCAGGCTTAATACCGGCAGCTACCCAACCCAAAAAATCCCAAATCCAAGGTACGACTATTGATATGGCCAGAAAATATCATATCGGCGCATAGCCGATCAAATCCGACCAATCGTGTGCCATTCCAACAACGTTGGCCGATGGTGGCCACCGGTGGTGGTGTTGGTGGTTGGCTACAACAATCCTCTTGGGTGGCTTGTAAATTGTTTTAGAGATAAGGGCATTACTGTCCATAATTTTAATTATTTATGGGCAAAATTGTAATGGTAGAGTTCATGTAAATTAATTTCAAAATAAAGGTAGTATTGTCCAAAAATTTTAACAATGAAGGGTAAAATTGTAATAAAAATAAGATTACCAAATAATCTTACAATACCTAAGAAAATTGAGATAATCAGATTACCTCTTATATTACCAACAGTAAATACTATTGGTATTGGAAAATTATCTGAATCTTATATTACTTGACAACTAAACGTGGTAATCAAGTAATATAAGATGATATTATCTCAATAATCCTATATAATTCCCAACCAAACACACCTTATAGGTAGAGAAAAACCCCTATAAAATAATTGTATGAACTATTATTAAGTAATTGCTTATTAGTTAATAACTTAATATAATCGAACATAGTTAAATTGAGTGACTATGACTTGTTCATCGAGAAAAACACATATACAAACTAATTTCTCTATTATTCTCTGTTCTACAAAACCTCAGCCCAAGCTTGGGCTTAGAAAATAAGGTACTGGCAATACTNAAGGTGTCATAATTGATGGTTGTTCAAACTTACTTATTATTATTATTATTATTAGTATATAATTTATATAATAAACTTTATTTTTTTTTTAAAAAAACTTAAAATTTGAAGATTGTTAATTAATACACAATTTAATTATATATTTAAAATTACAAGAAAATTAATGAAATTTCGTAAATTACCATTTATAAAAAAAAATAATAATAATATGGCTATTGAGGTATAACTTAAAAAACAAAGTAAAGAATGTGGAAGAAAATGAAAGAAGAGGCCGTATTGTTATCTGAAGTCTAAAAGTGCTGCAATGAAAGCCAAGCCAAGGTAATCAATAAATTATTATGCAACTTTAAAGCTTGTTGATGTTTATAACTTTGAGTTGTTAGTCTAACTAATGTGAACTTGTGTAGGGCTTGCTACTATTTTTTAGAACAAGTATAAAAATTTATTATCTCTTGCTTTCTTTAAATAAACTGAAAAAGTATACCCACTAGCAAACAAAACGCTAAGAAAAGTAACAAAACTTTGTTTATATATATATATATATATACACAGAGAGACTGACAAATCATTTTTTCAAACTTTTTTTTACAAACACGATGTGTTAATTTATAATTAATTAACTCATAATTGATTAGATAAGATCTATTAAAAACTAACCAATTATGAGTTAACGTATTACGTTTATAACAAAAAATTAGTGAGAATGATTTGTCAGTTTAGTATTACTCTTTTGTTTTTATGACCGAGGGTGTCCAGACATCAAAGCTCCCAAATCGTATAGGTTTGATTAAAAAGATACAAGTATGTGCTATCCAAATGAATAATACCATGTCTCCAGTATTTTTCAACATAGTAATGTTATTTATACATACTATTATATAAAAAAAGTTTGTACAAACTGATGTGATACATCACATATATGACGTGGTAGCATTGGGATCACTTATTTGGAAATTAATAAATCTAACTGCAGAAATTATTTTATATATTTTAGGTATTATTACTTCATTTATTAAATAATAGTATGCATAAAGTTTTAGTTAGTTTTGTCAAGTCCATATCCACCACCCATTATGAGAATATTTATATTCCGGGTTCTAAAATATTATTGAATATTCTTCCTACTTCTTTCCAAAAACAAACAATTTTTATTAGAATTTTATATTAAAATATCTCTATTAATTTATTTTTCTCTCTTAGGATTAATTATTTTCAAATTATCATTCAAATATGTAAAACAAGCAATCACAAAAATCAAAACTATGTATTTTTCCTTTTATTCGTTAAGTTTTTTTTTTTGTTTTTTTTCCTCAAAGATTAAATTCAAGGAGACTTTGTTATATGATTAAACCTATGGGTGCATTTGGTTCAAAGAATATTGTATTACTAGAAATGTTATATTAATGAAATTATGGAAAGAAAATTACCTTAAAGATTACTAAAAATGTTTAGGAAAATGTGTTTGGTTGATTGGAATAAATTAGTGGGTATGTTATATTAATATGTTTGGTTAAAAGGAATAAAGTGGGGGGTATGTTATATTGATTACTAAATTGCCCTCATTTTAAAATATTAATATAATATTATTTTTATTATTATTTTTTCAACGATTTATTTTAACCCCCTACATTTGAGATTTTGCTAAAACACCCAACCACATAAAAGTTTAATTTTTAACAAAAAAACACCCCCACCCACTCAAGCCACTGTCAGCCGCCTAAACCATCATCGATCATCGATCAGGAAGTGCAACAGAGATGTTCTTTGAGGGGTTTTGAAGAGTAGGTGAAGGGGAGTCTATCGATGCAAGTGGGGGTGATTTCTGGTAGAAAACGCAGCCGGAAAAGCACCGAGAAAAAGGGAAATCACAAAAAAACAATGGGCTTTGTTGGCAATTAGGGGTAGCTACGATGATGGGGTTTAGTGGGATTTGAAGAGGAAAATGAGAGGAGTAAGATGGTGGTGGTTGGGGCCAACGATGATGCTGGAATCAGCCCAAATCAGGCTTAATACCGGCAGCTACCCAACCCAAAAAATCCCAAATCCAAGGTACGACTATTGATATGGCCAGAAAATATCATATCGGCGCATAGCCGATCAAATCCGACCAATCGTGTGCCATTCCAACAACGTTGGCCGATGGTGGCCACCGGTGGTGGTGTTGGTGGTTGGCTACAACAATCCTCTTGGGTGGCTTGTAAATTGTTTTAGAGATAAGGGCATTACTGTCCATAATTTTAATTATTTATGGGCAAAATTGTAATGGTAGAGTTCATGTAAATTAATTTCAAAATAAAGGTAGTATTGTCCAAAAATTTTAACAATGAAGGGTAAAATTGTAATAAAAATAAGATTACCAAATAATCTTACAATACCTAAGAAAATTGAGATAATCAGATTACCTCTTATATTACCAACAGTAAATACTATTGGTATTGGAAAATTATCTGAATCTTATATTACTTGACAACTAAACGTGGTAATCAAGTAATATAAGATGATATTATCTCAATAATCCTATATAATTCCCAACCAAACACACCTTATAGGTAGAGAAAAACCCCTATAAAATAATTGTATGAACTATTATTAAGTAATTGCTTATTAGTTAATAACTTAATATAATCGAACATAGTTAAATTGAGTGACTATGACTTGTTCATCGAGAAAAACACATATACAAACTAATTTCTCTATTATTCTCTGTTCTACAAAACCTCAGCCCAAGCTTGGGCTTAGAAAATAAGGTATTGGCAATACTCGGGTCATGTTGGGCTTTAGGTTAAGTGTATGATATGAAATTTTGTAAAATTCTTGCAAAACTACATACAACCATCTTTATAAAGTATAATAAAGAAAGCCGTTTGAAAAACTAGGGGTATGCAAAAGAACCAGTCGGAACTGGCAAGTACCTGAGGTTCCGGTTCTGGTTCTTACTCAGAACCGAACCTCACAAGGTAGGTTACAGCTTTAGAAATCAAGAATCATTTGGTTCCGATTCCACCCTGCAAGAATCGAGAACCAAAACCAAATCAATTAGGTACCCGGGTAGGAACTAGAATTGATTTGTAATTTTTAGAGGGTTTAATTCTTACTTTTTAAAAGTTGGAGGTAATTGAAATTAATTCAGGTACCTAGAATCAGAACCTATGTTTCAGATTGCGGTTTCAAATCCAAGGAATCGGACAATTCCGATTCCTTTGAATTTGGGCTGGCCCTAGGACCGCCCACCCCCATGAAAAACTAGTCAAACCAACTACCATCAATTAAAAGACCAAATAGCTCTCCATAAACTTAGTCCATCTACTGTATATCTAAGCCCATTCTTTTTTAAACCAAACCCCAGTTTGGGTAAGACAGGCTTCACTATTAAGAAATTTGGGCATTCACCCGGGCCTAGATTATTTACGCCCTACATGTGGGCCTACAAATGTAAATGATCTCCCGGGCTCCATATATAACATTTGAATTGACGAAAATAACCTTCTCAGTTCTAAGTCACCGATTCAAACTAAAGAATCTGAGAACCTGTTTTTCGGTTATTCATACGTAACAGAACAATAAATCCTCCGTACAATCATTTCCTCCCCCAATGAAAACATTAATTTTTGTAAACTCCATTAATGATTACTCTAACCCTTTACTTAATTCATCTCCAAATTTTCCCTTCCGTTTTCCTTCCCTTTCCCGGGAATATAAAATATTCCAAACAAAATGGCTTCACTATCCCAAAACCCTGTATTTCTCTCCAATCAGAGCTTCATCATTACCTGAATTACCGAGTTATGGCGGGTGGGATGATTTGGGACTGGTTGGTGACTCAGTCAGTTCGGGTGAGTCAACTCCGTTGCGTAATTTTTTGGTTTCAATCGGAGTTAATGATAAAAAACACATTTTTTTGTTTCTTTCGGGACTTGTGTGTGCGTTAGCTATTTCTAGGGTTAGGGTTTCTACAATAATTGTGTTTCCGGCTTCGGTTTTGGTTTTTGCTATTGGGTTTTCAGTTGGGTTTGTTCGTGGTGGGAGTTTAAGTGAAGTTAGTGGTAGTAAGAGGAGGTCAAAAGAGGAAAATTTCAGGGTTTATAGTGAGAAATTCAAGAGTTTATTGGATATTTTTGATGGGTTAAATGGGAATATTAATAACTTGAAGAAGGACATACAAAGAGCTATTGATTGTAATAAGATTACAATTAGTGATTTGGAAAATTATTTCAATGCAGTGGAATCCATGAATTTATCAGCTTCAAATGCTAGAAATGCCACTGAGGCTTATATTATAAATCCAGGGAATTCTAATGATGTGTTAGTTGAGAACCAAAAATCAAGTAAAAAGAAGAAAGAGATTGGTAAAGTTGGGTTTGACTGGTTGCAGTTTATCGAGGGTATATTTGGAGAAAAAGCGGTTAATTCAAAGCCTAACAAAGTAAAAGATAAGGGAAAGCAAGGGACTCCGGAGGGTGTGATGAATGATCAAAATCAAGGAAATAATTTAAGTCCTGGAGATGAAATAAGGTTTCATGATTCTATTAACAATAATAAAGGAATAAGTAATTCAAGTTTTTTTCGAGATTCTTTAAATAAGTATGCTTTAGATCAAGATTGGGATAGAAGAAAAAAGGTGGATGTGCAAGATGAAAAAGTGAGTTCGGGGGAGGTGAATACAAATGCCAACAGAGTTTTTGAGAGTGAGGATTTTAGTTACCAGAATAACAGATTGCTGTTCAATAATCATCGTGTTTCCTTAAATATGGGTAGTACTAATGAAACTAAAGCTTGGGAATCAGGTGATAATTTGCTTGACTCAGTGGATTTTAGAGTGAGTTGGAAACATATGGAAAGTGAAGCTTCCTTTGTACAAGAGCGAATACTCAGGAAATCTAGTGGAGCTTATAGGTCTTCTGATGACACAGAGAAGTATGAGAATGTTATTTATAGACCCCGGTTAATAGAAGAGGGGGTGAATCCCAGAGATGATTCCCATCTTGCTGATCACCTGTCTGCTCATCGGAGTGTGGTTAATTCCTCTTCGTCTTCTGTGTTTACAGATGATGTTGCATTCAATAGGTATCTTACGGAAGCTAATGGTCTTTTGAAACAAGCCAAAGAGTGTATAAGGAGCAGTCTGGATGACGAGCATGTGGAGATGATATTATGCAAGTCTGCCAAGTTACTCTCAAAAGCCATAGTTTTGAAGCCCATGAGTCTATTGGCTGTGGGCCAGTTGGGCAACACTTATCTCCTTCATGGAGAATTAAAACTATGGATCAGTCGTGAGCTGAGAAGTCTCCTTTCAAGAAGTAATGTCGTATCTGTTGAGAAACAGAAAAGAGTACTCAAGGGGCTAGATTATCAGTTAGCTGGTAAAGACAGAATTGCCTCTCTTCTTGTTGATGCGTGTGAAGAGTGTGAAGAACTCCTTGTGAAGGCTGGCAAAAAATATAGGTTGGCATTGTCAATTGATGGTAATGATGTGAAAGCCTTATATAATTGGGGCCTTGCTCTCTCCTTCCGTGCGCAGCTAGTTGCCGATATTGGACCGGTAAGCATATGAACTGACAAAATTAGCTTGTTTATGGTTTTTTTCTATATATTTCTTATAAACAAGGCACAGGTTGAACAATGTAGTTTACCGTTGCTTGTGGTAGCCAGTTGAGTGAGCCTCACTAATCTTTAGCTGCTTTGAGCTTACTGGTGTAAAGATTAGAGAATGGAATATTTTAATATAATTAATAATTAGTAAAATAGCTATCTCACAATTTGGTTGATATTAAGTTGCTTTGACTGGATTGAAAATTTAGGTAAAATATCTGCTCATAAAGTTAATAACTCAACTCTGTCTTCCAAATTTCAGGAAGCAGCTTTTGATGCTGACAAAATATTCTTGGCTGCAATTGAGAAATTTGATGCTATGATGTCGAAAGGCAATGTTTATGCGTCTGATGGTATATTTAATTTCCCATTTACATCTTTGAATGAATACACTGCTGAGGAAGTATAAAATTCCACTTGACTCTAAAATTGTGTAAATTACAGCTCTGTTCAGATGGGCTGTGGTGTTGCAACAAAGATCTCGCTTACGGCCAAGAAATAGTAAAGAGAAGGTGAAATTGCTGCAGCAAGCTAAGAGACTATACGAAGATGCGCTACATATGGACTGCGACAATCTTCAAGCAAGAGATGCCTTGTTATCATGTATGTCTGAGCTTAACTATAGTGACTTTTAGAGGTCTCTAACAATAGAGTATCTGATCTCATGGTTCAGTTTTCCATTACTCCTCAGCTTGTATTTCACTTACTGGCCTTATTTTGCTTTTCATTCTCAATGGTTTTTGTGTCCATTCTACCTTAGAAAATGCAGCAGTAAAACACTAAAACTTTGTGTAATAATGAATAACAGTATAATAAAAGATGATGGGAGGAATCTTTCTCTTTTGTTACCATCAATTAATATGAAAAGTTTCTATTTGTTCCAAACTCTTGAGCCGATTTGATCCATGTATTATATCACTAATGAATTCAGTTTTGTTCTTGCTGATTGTAGAATAACTGTAGACAGAAACAACTTCACTGATCTACCCTCATCCTTTATTTTAGAAGAATAAGGTGAATCCCGAATCTCGAGTCTCTACATCAAGTTTGTGTTCAAAGCATTGTTTTAAAACCCGGACCGGAGGGCAAACCGTTTTGCTGTCCGGGTCGCGGTTCAATCGGTCCAACCGGTTGAACCGGTCGGTTGGACTGATGATGTCAGCAATATTTTATTTTTAAAAAATTATATATTAACCCCTTAAATCTCAATATATTACAAAAATTCTCCTAAAAAGTTCAAATTGGTCCCTAAAATTTTTATTTACTCCAAAAATGTCCCAATAAAATTACCAATTAGTCCTTAAACTTTTGATATATCTTCAAAATACCCCTATAAAATTACATGTAACCCTCATAATTTTAAAATATTTCAAAAACCCCCCTGAGACCTAAACCGGACCGGAGAAGCTACCGGCTCCCGGTCCGACCGGTTGGTCCGGTCCGGTTTTTAAAACAGAGGTTCAAAGTGATCTGATATCAATATCTAATTGTTGTTGATGAGGAAATAATGTGATGAACAATTATTGATTAGTGTCCATGTCACAATAGTTGAGATACAAACTTGAGAAATATATAGTATTACTCATTAATTTGTCACGATAGTTGAGATACAAACTTGAGAAATATATAGTATTACTCATTAATTTATCAATGTACGCCTTATTTGCTAAGATGTTGAATCCACTAGTGTGTAGTTAATCAACAAACTCAAGAAATCTGAAAACATTCTAGTGCCACATGATCTGTTTGAAAGGAATACGGGCACTCGCATAATTTCTAAGAACTCAAATCCACTTACAAAGTGTAAATTTTATATATATATATATACACATATATTCATTTAATTATGCAAACTTAAATGGCATATAATGTACAATTTTAGGAGGAAAAACCTGTATCCAATGTTTGACATGGTCCAAGGTTGCCATCCCAAAACATAACAAAGAAAGCAAGCAAAACAGAGCACCATTTCCAACTTTTAATGGCTTGAAACGCAGCTACTAAAAGGGACTTTTTTCTTTTCTTCTTTTCTTCTTCTTTTTTTTTTTTTTTTTTTTTTTTTTTTTTTTTTTTTGGTGTGGGGGGACCATTACTCTTGCAGGTTTAGTTTTTATTTTAAGGTTTTCCATATGCCTGAATTCTAATTATGTATTACTTAGAAAACATTATTGCCTTGAGCTGAAGCCAGTATGTTGAAGCTCGGATTCTCGGCTTCTGTCATGCTCCTCAAACGTTCCTGAAAAACTTTCAATATTCTGGCAAAGGTAACAATTCCGGCCAAGGTGCCATCCTCATCAACAACCCACACATAACTCACACGGCGAGCAAGTGCCTGAATAATCACAGCCATCAATGAGCTCCAAGGATAACAAACAATTGCCTCTGACCTGCTCACCACTCTTGCATAGTACCCTCCAGACCTCCCACTTCTTCCTGAACTTACACTGTCCTCATCGTCGGATGAACATGAAGATGAAATTCCCCAATCATCCTCCATCAACTCCACAAAAGCCCCCATGTTTCTCTCTTCCAGCCTCTTCTTCACCACCTGTACTAGGTCCTTCGGAGGTTTACCACAGTCCACATAAGCCATCAGATCATCAACTGAAAGCGTTGCTATCGCAGCAACAACCGTCTCATCACAAGAATTCAGTGCAAAAGGTGAAATGTCTCCAACCAACTTGCCATAATCATCAACAACGGCAACAGAGGTTTGTGTGATGTGGGATTGAGCAATAAAGGGTAATGCCAGAGTGGCAGGTTCATCATAATGGATGGCTAGAATATCAGAATTATCAATAATGTTGAGAGAATTAATGGGGTGATTTGAAGTTGAGCCAATTACTCCAATTGAATTGAGAAAGTAACGAATTATGTCTTCTTGAGTGAGCCAGCAGTATTCACGATCGTTATGGAGGGTGGATTCTAAGGACGGTTTCTGCACAAATTTTTTTCTTCTGGGAAGTGGAATAACAATGTTCTGTGCACCTTCCAGCATCAAATTTATGGCATCCAACAAGCTGTAAAATCAATAAAAACCAATTAGATTTACAAGAAATCATACAAAAAAACTATGAATTCATACACCGTAATCAAAGAACCAAACTTTTTACAAAAGATAGATGCAACAGTCAAGATATTGTACTCTGATCTGTCTTTTACATATAACAAATAACGGGGCTTAGAGGGCGTCCCCTTGATTTGAACAGGTGACTTCATCATTCGAAAGGCAAAAGGGATGTGCTCTGAGCTCCACCCCACTATTGAGGTGGGTAAGAGACAAATCCGAAAACAATATTTTGATGGTAAAATATGAATAGAGCCATTAAAATTAAAATTTCACAAACACCTTCATAAAAAGCCAGGAAATTTACAATCAAACTAAAATACAAACCTTGCATTGGGTTCCAAATGTCTAACGATCCCAGAGGCCTTAGGCAAGAGAACCGAAACAGGGGCCTCAAGGGCAGAGGCCAGGTTCAACAAATTCTCTTCTTTACACAAGAAGCAAACGATATCCACCATGCAAATTTTGCTAATACATTTACATGGGTCCTCACCGTTCGTTATGGCTTTCCTTCTGCGTTGTGAATGATCACAGCTCCATACACTAATATAAGTCTCTCCAAATCTTTTCAGCGCCGACAGAGCGTCCCCAACGGTAGCGGAAACGACCGAGATTCCCCTCAGCGCAGGCTTTCCAATGCATAAATCTGATACTTCATTCGATAATAGACTCACTGCCATGCACAACACACAAAAAAAAAAAAATCTTGTTTTTTATGGGATTAAATGGATTGGCGACTTGGAATGGAGGCGAAGAGCGAAATGAAGGAGAGGGAGTGGGATTTGAGCCGTGGCTATGAAGTGTTAATGGGCGAGGAGGAGGAGGTTCTAGAGAGACAGGTGGAGGTATTTTTAGTTTTAAACGATTAATACAATTAAATCGCGCTATTTATAGAGAATTTGTTAGGTGGAATACCCGGTCAACCCCACGCACGTGACTGAGATTTTAATCGTTATTGTAGAGGGATATATTAAAAAGATTTTATTTTTTATATAATATTTGACAATAATTTAGCTTAAAGAGAGAAAAACTCTCTCTGTCTTACAAATATTTCAATTACAAGAAGATTACTAATTATTAAAAAGAAAAATGAGCTAAATTTGAATTTATAAATGAATATGGTGGTGGGCAACTTGGTGACGTTGATGTTATGTGGTATCTAAATATGACTATGATCTTCTTTCCCCTACTTTTACATCTGTTTCAAAATTGTCCTCTGCTTTCTCTTCAAATGCATTTTTGGTCTTGTAATATTAATATTTGATGTATGGTTATTTGTACGTAGGTACAGTTCCATTTTTTTGTTAAATTGAACCCATTCGATTTCATTACTTTCTGGTTCGCCCCTACTTATGGCGACAATCTTTTTAATATATTCTTAAATTAATTTTTTATTACTTAGGATTAAGAGATAAAGTGGTGCATAATTTAAAATTAGAAATTAGTTAAGTCCTGATTGGTAGGGTATTTGAAAATGTTAATCTGAATAACTATTTTAAATTGAGTTGAGTTGAATTAAATCAAATAGGATATGATTCTGACAATGTGTTTGGTATAATATCTGAAAATTATATCAAAGTTTGATAAAATGCTGAATAGTTGTTTGAAATATTTTTTGAAAACATTTTCTAAAAATATTTAGATTATTTTTAATCCCCTAGATTTGTTAATTTAGCTAAACAATAAGAGTTTATAAATTAACAAAAACACTCTCACCCACCCAAGCCATTACCGGATGATGCACGACCGGATAGATCTGGCCAATAGTGTGCGGCTCGGCCAAATCTACAGTCAGAATCTCGCCATCGTTGATAGTCAGATCTCAGGCCGTTGTTAATGGCCAAAATATGGCCTATGGCCGAAAACAGTCAAATCGACGCACAATCGGCCAAATCCGGTCGATCGTGCTTCGTTCCAACCTGACAGACAATGGTGGTCTTGGGTAATTTTTAGACTGAAATGAGTGAAAGGTAATTGTTTTCAGTTGATCAGTTGAATAGAGTTGGAAAAATGTTTTGAGTTTAATAGAATAGAATAATAGAAAACAAGTCCCACCCACTTTTTATTTTTAGACAAAAAATCATATTTGAGTTGAATTAATTTTTTGAATGAATTAGCCTAATAATTAAACAAATACATATTCTGTTTTTTAATCCACATAAGATAACAGAAAAATGATTTGAAAAAGTGAAACAAATAGGGCTAAAACATTAATTGTGTTGGATAATACTAAACAAACAGGGGCTAAGATATTAATTGTGTTGGATTATAATAATAATAATAATAATTCAGGTCAGGGATTAATTGTAGGTTTATGGATCTATTAACGCATCGGTAATTAAAAAAAAATAAAGATATGCAAACCCTAACCCATGACCTTTATGCCCATTTCACATTATTAAATATACAATCAAATCAAAGAGTTGTAAAAACTATACCAGTGTTGAAGGCTCTTTCGATGAGATTGAAATCGCTACCACTCCAAGGTAGGAGTGCACTAACGGTATCCACATGAAGACAGGACGGGTGATCACCTTACAGTCTCAAGTGCTAGCAAGACACGCAAGGATCAAGGATCCAAAATTTTTCTTTTCGAAAAATTCTCTTCTCCACCTAAGAGAGAGAAGGGAGGCTAAGGTTTTTGATTTTTGTAAAAAAGTTATCACATTTTAATTTTAGTTGCACTTAAATAGTGCACACTAAAATCTTAATCTAATATGGAATAGCTAATATTCCATATTTAGATTAGCTTTATTCCATTACAAACAAGACATTTTAATTCAAATTTAAATTTGAATTCCATATTATCTAAATTAATATTAATATTAAATAATATATATTATGTTTAAATAAACAAATATATGCAGTAAATATATATAAAAACAAAATATTTAAATATACAATCTCACTAATTTAATTTCCATATGAAATTAAATATAGGCAACAATCTCAACAAATTTAGTTTCACTGTGAGATTACAAAAATGTCATTTCATCTTAAAAGACGAAAATACCTGTTCATCATAAATAATGAAAATGCCCCTCTCACTTATCCATCCTTAATTTGTCTTCTATGTGTGTGACCCGAAAGCTCCTTATCATATTCGCAGTGAGTAGTCTCGCAATTGACACCAATCAATCATCTCATTAAACATAGACCAAGATTGGCCTCTAGCAAGGCATCATGGCCACCCGATAGATTCAGATTCAGCGAAACAGCTTGCCTATCAACGATATTGTTACCGTGTAATCTAATCCTTTCATCATCCATTATCTCATCAAGGCCGAGGCATAGAAGTAGTGTCAACCTCGAATATCCTTGATATCTCGGTCTTCGGTTTTTTGACCAACGACCAGAATAAATTGGATTGAGTTATAACCCAATCCCACTATGACCATAGATTTAATGTCGTTGCATCTACCGAATTACTCAGCGAGATAATTTATCCCGTACTTGGGAGTGATGAATCCTTTGTTAATCCACCATAGTCTTGATACACTTTTCGATGTAGCCAATCATTATTGTTCTGATAGCTCTGAATAAAATTACGTTGGACTAGTGTCAAACTACACCAATTGATGCACAAGGCGCTTCGGTGATCTTAAGTCTAAGGATCACATGTACCACCATTCGTTAGAGGATTTATTCCACAGAAATTAGGGTTACAAACTACACCGATTGGGCCGGGGATGAAACTGACAGGAGATCAACCAGTGGCTATAGTGTTTTCCTAGGTGGTAATCTGGTTCAATGGTCCTCTCGGAAACAAAAAGTAGTTGCATTGTCATCCACAGAGGCTGAATATAGGTCAATTAGTCAGGCAGCTACGGAGCTGGTCTGGATTCAACATTTATTCTCAGAGTTGGGAATTCATATTAGTCACACTCCAATCATTTGGTGTGACAACATGAGTGCTGGAGCACTCTCTTCCAACCCTGTCTTTCATGCCCGCACAAAGCACATAGAAATAGATGTTCATTTTGTTAGAGATTTGGTGACTAGGAAGCTGTTAAATGTTCAGTACATTGCCTCTGAATATCAAATTGCTAATCTGTTAACAAAAGCTCTTCCTAACACTAGGTTTATCATGCTGCGAGACAAGCTTACTGTAACATCTGGACTTCCTGCTAATGAAACTGTTAAGTGTGCTAGTAATAGTCAACATGAGTAATGGATGAATGTGTCCTCGTTCTGATTGGTGGAAAATTCATATGTTGAAATGTTGGTAGACTAAAATGTGATGAGTTGTTGGTCTAAAATGTGTTGAATTGTTGGTGTTTTTGGTGCTGGAAAATTTTTCTGCTGGAGAATGTGTAGAAAATGTTGGTAGTCTGAAATGTGATGAGTTGTTGGTTTGGAATGTGATGATTTGGTGATTTAATTCTGCTGGAAAATGAGTTGAGATGTTGGTAATCTGAAGTATGATAAGTTGGTTTGCAATGTGTTGAGTTGGTGATTTAATTCTGCTGGAAAATGAGTTGAGATGTTGGTAATCTGAAGTATGATAAGTTGGTTTGCAATGTGTTGAGTTGGTGGTTTAATTATGCTCGAAAATGAGTTGAGATGTTGGTAGTCTAAAGTATGATAAGTTGGGATTTGAAATGTGTTAAGTAGTTAGTTAGATTTTGCTGGAAAATGAGTTGAGATGTTGGTAGTCTGAAGTATGATGAGTTGGGATTTGAAGTGTGTTGAGTAGTTGGCCTGACTGTGCTTGAAAAATTCATGCAAATATGTAGAATAAAAAGCAAACATGTAGATTTGAAGTGTGTTGAGTAGTTGGCCTAACTGTGCTGGAAAAATTCATGCAAATATGCAGAATAAGAAGCAAATATGCAGATTTGAAGAAATTGCAAGAAATTGTAAATATGCAGAGTAAAAGTAGAAGTAATTGACTGTTGAGCAGAGCCGTATTTTGACTCTCAATTCTGATGGTTAAAGTTCAGTTTGAAAGTTTATTTTACTGTTAAATTACCAAACTGGTGAAAATGTAGAATAAACAAAATAGGTGACTATTAAAGGCTGCTGCAAAGTAAGGCTGAACTTGGTAGTAGAATAATGCTAAAGAATGTCTAGTTTACGGGGGAATGTTGATATAAGGGAGAATGATGGTGTCAGATAGTGTTGTTCAAGTACTGTATCAATATCAAGTATTTTGGTTTAAGGGAGAATATTGAGTATAGAAGTGACTGAGAAGGGTGTTTATGTAAAAGATCAAAGCTCAAGGACTGTTTTGTAAAAGTTTAATACTTGACTGTCATACGGTGACGTTTTTGGTTCGTCTTGTAGCTGTTATATAAGTGCAGCATTCTTTTATCTGAACAGTTAGTCAATTAATAAATAGTTTTCTGGTTTCTTAATTCTTTAGCTCTGTATTTCGTTTCTCCCAAATACTTTTCTGTTTTATATTTTTCATTCAAGTCGGTCCTAGAATCTTCAAGGTTGATGCGTGATTTTGACACCAATTATTCGCACGTGAGAAATGCTGAGTGGACTCAGAAGTCACACGTGGTAAAGGGGGTGCTTGACTGAGTAAGGGATGAAGAACAATGTTTAAAATGGTTTGGATGCTCAAACAAGCGAATCCTACGTCTACTGATATTGTATTAATGAGTGAAGTCAGATCGCGTTCAGCGAACTGATTTATAGCTTAAGAAATACAATAGGGAGAGAGAGAGANCATATGGCAAATAATACCTCCAAAGCAGATGATAACTAAAGACATCCTTTAGTAAAAAATATTTAACTTTTCAATCACATTACCATAGCATATAAATACCAGTAACATTAAATAAGATTTAAATTATTGATTATTATAAGATTCTCCCCTATATATTATTATACTAATTGCAGTCGCTAGCTTTGATTGCGGATCAAATTAAATGAGTCAAATGTTATGAATCATTCCACGAAAGTTGATATTTCACAACTTTGATAAAACTATAAACAGCTTAGTGGGAAAGTATAGTGTATTTACACATAATTTCTCTTCCAAATACTCTAATCTACCATGAATTTCCTTCTTGCGTACCTGAACACCACCATAATCGGAGTCTTTGTCACACTTCTGATCTTTTCCTGTTATTTGCTGAGGAGATCCAACTCCAATTCTACCAAGGGCCCAAAAGCACCGGAAGCTGCTGGCAAATGGCCAGTAATCGGCCATCTTCCCGTCTTAGCAGGATCCCAACTTCCTCACTTTACGTTGGGAGCCTTAGCGGACAAGTATGGACCAGTCTTCTGCATTCGGGTTGGCGTGTACCCAGCTTTGGTGGTCAGTAGCTGGGAGGTAGCTAAGGAATTATTCACCACGTATGATGTGGACGTATCCTCCCGCCCAAAACTCACAACTGGAAAACTCTTGGGCCATAACTATGCAAATTTCGGGTTCAGTCCTTATGGTGCATACTGGCGTGAAATGCGCAAAATAACGGCTGTAGAACTACTATCAAACCGTAGGCTTGATTTACTTAAACATGTTCGAGCCACTGAAGTAGAACATGCATTGAAAGAGATCTACAAGTTTTGGACCAAGGCAAGGAATGAATCAAGCCATGTTTTGGTAGAGACGAAGCAATGGTTTGGGGACCTGAATTTGAATGTTATTCTGAGGATGGTTGCTGGTAAGAGGTATTTTGGTGCTGATGCAGCAACAGATGAGAAAGAAGTGAGGCGTTGCAGGAAGGCGATGAGGGAATTCTTTGATTTGGCTGGCCTTTTTGTGGTGAGAGACGCTTTACCTTTTCTTGGATGGCTTGATATTGGTGGATATGAGAAGGCCATGAAGAAAACCTTCAAAGAACTGGACAGTCTTGTTGAGGAATGGTTAGAGGAGCATCGCAGGAAGAAAGAAGCTGGTGAGGTGGCTGCTAAGGAAGAGCAAGACTTCATAGACATGCTGCTGTCTGTTCTTATTGATATTGACCTTTCCGGATTCGATATTGATACAGTCATCAAAGCCACATGCTTGGTACTTCTCTTCTTCCATCACATCTTTGAATTTTCATTTTTTCATATGTCACGGATAGAGGCCAAGACATTAGCCAGCTTTTGTATCTTTCCTCGACTAAATTTATATTTACTCTTCTATTAGCCTATTTGTGAAAATTAATGTGAGAAGCTGCATCATCAAGTATTATAAACTATTAGGCTTAATATGATATGAAAACTGATAAATGGTAAATTACTGTGTGCCTTAATTAGTTCCTTTATGTGTTATCACAAAGATGTGTACTTTGTAGACTATAATTGTAGGGGCGACTGACACCACTACTGTTAACCTGACATGGGCACTCTCGCTATTGCTGAACAATCACCATGCACTGGATAAAGTTCAGGAAGAATTAGACAGTGTGGTTGGCAAGGAGAGGCTATTGAGTGAATCAGATGTTGATAAGTTGGTCTATCTCCAAGCCGTAGTGAAGGAGACGCTAAGATTATACCCAGCTGGACCGCTTGGAGGAGGACGCGAATTCACTAAAGATTGCACCATAAGCGGCTATTATGTCCCCAAAGGCACCCGGCTACTGCTTAACATTTGGAAGATTCAAACAGACCTACAGGTATGGTCTGATCCATTAGAGTTCAAGCCTGAGAGATTTCTAACTACTCACAAGGATATTGATGTTAACGGTCAACATTTTGAGCTCATCCCATTTGGCGGTGGTAGAAGAGCATGCCCTGGAATATTATTTGGCTTACAAATGACACATTTGGCGCTGGCTAGTTTGCTACATGCATTTGACATTACAACTCCTTCAAGTGCACCTGTCGACATGACTGGAACCCCTGGAATGACGAACATCAGAGCAACACCACTTGAAATTCTTGTAAAACCTCGCTTGTCACATCATCTCTATGGATAAATATTGTCTGATTGAGTATAAAGCACTTCATGAATTGATATGTAAAGTTTTGTATGAATGAGACATGAAATTTGCTATGAAGAGAATAATGGAGTACCCTGTTTCTGTAATTGTTTTGCTCTACGGGAGTTTGCCTCGTGTCGACCTCTTGGACCGCGCCTGTAAAGTTGTATTGCAACATTTACTTTCTCGTTCTTCCAATATATATATGCATTCATAAGAAAAGACCATCTTCTTTTCATCCCATTTCTATCTTCCCGATCCAACTGAAACAGAGTAGTTAAGTTATGAACGGTTTGGCAGGTTTAACTTTTCCTTTTCAAAAGTTCTCTTAACTTCAAAATAAACCCTTGTGGATCCTAAATCGGCATATTGAAACAATCTTTCTTGTTCGTACCCATTACTGACTTTTGGTAGAAATTTGGTGATAAGCATAGACATTAAGAAGTCCTATTCAAAACGAAGGTGCAGCTAGTGGCAGCTACCTTGCATTTTAGTGACGTTAAAAAGTATGGCCTCGAGCCACCGACATAGATTTGATTTGTTGCAACTCCAAATGAAGCTGTCGACATGAGCGAAGAGTTAGGATTGATTATGGATAAAACAGCTCTACTTGAAGTCTTCATTCCATCCCGAGGCCCTAGCTATCTTCTTCCTTATATGGTTAGATTAACTTCCATGATTATTATTATAAATAATTTGACAGAGTGTAAAAATGGATACAACTTTATCTTTTGGTGAGAATAAAATATAACCAGAGTGTTTTAATAAAGTTGCTTGTTAGGGGAGAATCATAGAATCCAATTTAATTAATATAAAATTTCAAGCTTCATTCTAATGGTCAATGTAATAACTAATAACTTCAAATAAACCATTTCCAGCTTGGTGTGTATATTCAACAATGTTGACATTGTTATGACAAATGAAACATTTATGTTAATATGAGGATCGTGGTTGAAACTAATAGATTTGATTAAGTTTGAAAGATAAGCATGAACTTTAATATTAGAATCTTCTTAAAGCTACCAATACCATAATACAAACATCATAATTTTACAAGTTTTAACCATCTCTACATATTACTTGATTTTCACACATATATATGACAAATTTTCTGTCGTTTAATTAATTCGTATTCATTTAAGTTCAACTTGTCTATGAATGGAGATGAAGAGACCCCTTTGTACAAGTTTCTAAATTAGTTTTTTCTTCCTGAATCCTTATGTAAACTTTGGTGCGACTCTCTACTTAAATAGCATGGACTTTCTTCTTTCATAACATATAACAGCTATTGCTGCAATTTTGGCCGTCCTTCTCTACTTTCTGTTATTGATGATAGCAAGAAATGTGCTGAGAAATACAAGCAAGAAGAAAGCAGCGCCAGAAGCAGGTGGGGCATGGCCTTTGATTGGTCATCTACACCTTCTTAGTAGCCCAAAACCGCCTCGTAGAGTTTCGAGCAACATGGCTGGTAAGTATGGGCCTACATTCAACGTCCGCCTCCGTAGTCGATGTGCCTCTGTTGCTAGTAGTTGGTAAGTATTTAAGGAATGCTTCACAACTAATGACAGGGCGGTAGCTTCACGTCCTACAACAGTGGCAGCAAAGGCTATTGGTTACGACTGTGCTGTGTTTGGATTTGCACCTTACAGCCCTTTTTGGCGTGAGATGCGAAAAATTGCAACACCTGAACTTCTTTCAGACCGTCGGTTTGAGATGCTCCAGCATGTTCGGCTTTCTGAAGTTGACATGAGCATAAGGCAGTTATACAGTTTATGGGTTAAGAACAGTTCTTTCCCTGTGTTTGTTGATCTTAAAAAGTGGTTAGAAGACATGACACTTAATGTGGTTGTAAGAATGGTGGCTGGAAAACATTATCTTGGTGCACCTGTTGACATGACTGGAACCCCAGGATTGACGAACATCAAGGCAGCACCACTTAAGTATAAAGCACTCCATGAATTAATATGTAAACGCTTTGTATGAATGAGACACGATATTTGCTATGAAGGGAATAATCCGGTACCCTGTTTTTGTATTGGAATAAGCTTCTATTCCTCCTATTTCTTTCTTCCCGAACCAACTGAAACAGAGTGGTCTAGTTGTGACCGCCTTGGCAGGTGCAAAGAAATCTGATGATAAACATTGGCATTAAGAAGTCCTATTCAAAACGAAGCTGGTCGTGGCAGCTAGCATCCATTTTTTGAGAGGCAAGACCGCTAAGGTTGACTCTTTATCAGGGTAATTATGAAACCGTGTTCAGATCTAAAATAAATTATTTAGGAAGATGAAGTTAACGGGTCCTTCAAACGATAAAATATACAAGAAATATCCATCTTGTTTGACATCGTCTATTTGTTTATCGAAGAAACCATCACTGTTGACTTAATTTACAGAAAGCCAACTCATGGTCCAAACAAGCCACAGCAGACGCCACAGATCTTACGGCCTAGACTGCTATACAATAATAACATGCTTTATATGAAACAGATATAAAACCCACCGTCCCCACAAAAATATTGCAGAGATGGTGATCTTCAATCCAGAGATTTGGATCAGTTAATTTATATATTGGATCTAGATTTCATAAATGCCCAAAATTCCTATCCTGTAAAATCAATTTGATGGGTTGAAGTAATTAAGTCAACCACAAGTCTCTTCCCACTCTGTTATTAGTAAAGAGTTCAATGTGGTCACTGGTATTGATTAGTTGAACTATAATAATATTAAATTGATCAAAAAATATTACTGGAGAGTGTAGAACAATAACAAAATTATATACATTTTTCAATAAAAGTTGTTATATATTATTTAACATTTCAAATCAACTATTTATTATTTAAATTAGATCTTTACACCAATAAAGAATCGATATGAATAGATTCATAACGTGGCACTAAAGCATATTGACATGTTGCAGTTTTGAGACTTGTCTCCCTATTTTCTGTTCCAATTTCAGCACTCTGACAAGATTGGCACGCAATTTAATGAAAGTGGGGATTAGTTGAGATGTATCCGGACACTCCGATTAAAAAAAAAAAAGTAAAGAAAAAAGACTTAAAACAATGTCTAGATGTTACTGTTTATAGGCCTTGATCTAAGCAGAACTCTTTCGCTGCTTCCCAGCGAGTCCTAGGGACTTTTTTCTTTCATTCCAAACAACTTCTACCACCACAATTTTGGGCTTTTCAATCGTTCTCTACTGTTTGTTATGGATATCAAGAAATTTCATAAGAAAAGGAAGCAAGAAGAAAGGAGCACCAGAGGCTGGTGGAGCGTGTCCTGTGCTTGGTTTAGATGCTTTCCGGGCACCAATTTTTGTCTGACTGTCTATTTGTTTATTTCAAAGGAATTCAAGTCTTGACATAAAACTCAATCCACCCATGTCTCTTTTAAAAATTAATCAATTTCCAGTAAATCCATCAATATTTTAAAAATTGATTGCTCAGGATTTTTAAACTAACAAAACAAATAGCAGAAGCAGCTCTTTCAAGAGCACACAAATTTGATTCAGGGTTTCTTTTTCATTGGCTAAAAGACGCACGGCACGGAAAATAAGAAGACGCACCGCATTAGGGTCTATATAGCCCATCCCCGTCCCCATCCCCGTCACTAAAATATCAATAAATCAGATATTCTTGAAACCCGTTAGAAAAATTTAACAAAAAAGGAAATAGCCAACCAGGATGAACGATCTAGAAGATAAGGATGGCAGCCAAACGTGACCAGAATGTAATAATCTTTCTTGCATTTTATTATGCCTGAAAAGTTAAGATTGACGTGACCTCTCATCAGCAACAACTAATTAAGTTTTGTATTACTCAGTTGTTTGTCGCGTCGCGTAGTAGCAGAAAAAATATGGTTATTATCAAATGTTGTAGGTGAATCTCATGTTTAGGAGTGGTCAGAGATCATCCACTTGTTCATAATTCGAGGATATTTCTCTACAGATAATTAATGAGATTTAAGAAAGGATGTATATGACACTTATCGACTTATAAATTTATAATTATGATCTTGAATTCTCCTATTATTTAAGAAAACTCTTCCCTCATCTATCAGATTGATTTATCTTATTCTAAAAATATATACACACTTTTTCTCTTCCTCTTTCTCTGTATTCCCTCTGAATTATAACTCAATTCACCACACTATTTGAATAGATCCATTTATTAATATAATAATAATTGACATAAAATTCACGTTTAATCATCCGAACTATTTTAAAAATTGATTTTTATTTATTTTTTCATTTCATGTTTTATATCATAAATAATTTTTAAGTCCCTTAACACTTCACACGTGAGCCGTCAACCATCAACAGATTTAATAATTTCAGTGGCATGCGCTCAGCGTCTTAAAATAATGTCAAGTTGTTACTATTTATAGGCCTTGTGCTAAGCAGAACTCCTCTTTCACTGCTTTCCAGCGAGTCCTAGCAGCAATGGACTTTTTTCTTTCATTCCAAATAACTTCTACCACCGCAATTTTGGGCTTTTCAATCGTTCTCTACTGTTTGTTATGGATATCAAGAAATTTCATAAGAAAAGGAAGCAAGAAGAAAGGAGCACCAGAGGCTGGTGGAGCGTGGCCTGTGCTTGGCCATCTACATCTCTTAGGAGGTCCACAACCGCCTCACAGAGTGTTAGCCGACATGGCTGATAAGTATGGACCAATCTTCACTATCAAGATGGGCGTGTATCGAGCTTTAGTGGTGAGTAATTGGGAGATTGCTAAAGAATGTCTCACTACCCATGATAAAGTCTTTGCCAATCGTCCAAAAACAATGGCCTCCGAGCTGTTAACTTACAATTTTTCCATGTTTGGTTTCAGCCCATATGGCCCCTATTGGCGCCAGATTCGCAAGATTGCGACACTTGAGCTTCTCTCAACCCACCGGCTTGAGAAACTTAGAAATGTACGAGAATCCGAGGTGAAAACTTCTTTAAAAGAGTTATATGAGGTATGGGTTGAGAAGAAATATGGTAGTGGGAATAAGGTGTTGGTGGATATGAAAAGATGGTTCGGAGACGTAACCCTTAACGTGATTTTGAGAATATTGGTTGGAGAGCGATGCAGTTTGCGAGAGGGTAAAGAGAGTAATAGATGGAAAGAGGAATTAACCAACTTTTTCGCCTTGAGTGGTAAGTTTGTTGTGTCAGATGCGTTACCATATCTGAAGTGGTTGGATATAGGAGGAGACAAGAAGTCAATGAAGAAGACAGCAAAAGAATTAGACATTGTTATTCAAGAATGGCTAGAAGAGCACAAGAGAAAAGTGAAGGGACATCAAGAAGACTTCATGGATGTGATGATGTCCATTCTGGATGATCCAGAGTTGTTTCCAGGTCGTGATGCTGATACTGTCAACAAAGCTACATGTCTGGTACGCCTCTATTAGTTAATTTTGGTTTCTTCTTCTATTTCTGGATCTGCTATTAATAACATCAGACTTTAGTAGTATTAATGTATTATCATACGTATCATATCTTGGTTTTAATGCCAAATATATATATATATATATATATATCATACGTCAAACTTTCTTTTGACAAATGACAAGGCTTGTACATTTGAAAAAGTTCAAAAATTGGCAACGCACAGAACATAAAATTAATTAAGATTAAGGCTAAGAAGAACAAATGATGACACATAGGAGAGAGAGAATTAATAGAGAATTATATAAGTTTTAACATTATCTGCCAATTTTCCCCTCTACCAACTTTGCAGGCTCTCATATTGGCGGCCGCAGACACTTCAACAGTTACATTGACGTGGGCTCTCTCTTTACTTCTCAACAACCCTGATGTCCTAAAGAAAGCCCAGAATGAATTAGACATTCAGATTGGAAAAGAAAGGCAAGTGAGAGAGTCAGACATAAAAAATTTAACTTATCTCCAGGCCATCCTGAAGGAAACCATGCGTCTATACCCTGCTGGTCCACTTGCACTTCCACATGAATCTACGGAAGATTGCACCGTTCTTGAGTACCATGTACCGGCGGGCACACGGCTCTTTATTAATCTTTGGAAGATTCATCGTGATCCTCGTGTTTGGTTGGACCCTTGTAAGTTTCAGCCAGAAAGATTTCTTACGACCCATAAGGATTTTGATGTGAGGGGCCAGAGTTTTGAATACATGCCGTTTAGTAGCGGCAGAAGAATGTGCCCTGGAGTGTCGTTTGGCCTTCAAGTTATGCAACTTACACTTGCTTCTTTGCTGCATGGGTTTGAATTTTCAACCCCGTTTGATGAACCTGTTGACATGAAAGAAGGGATAGGAATGACTCTTGTTAAAATCGCTCCACTTGAACTTCTTCTCACTCCACGACTTTCTCCTTCTTTATATGCTTAAATTGATTTAATTCAGTGATAATTGATGTATACTCTTTTATATTTTTTATTGATCAATGATGTGTTTCTTCAACGATCATGCATATGACACTCACCATAAAGATTATAGTGGATATGGGTTAATTTGAGCCGCAGGAGGAAACCAAACCATAAAACTTAATACTACAAGCAAATTGAAGGATTTCTCTGGGCACATGGGTTGAATTAACTAGAGATAATGACATGTAAGCACTTAATTCAAATATTAAATACTAATATATTCCAGGAATTCAACCCGTCCTCTCTTGTCATTTGCCGTTCCACGTAAGTTTAGATGCTTTCCGGTCACCAATTTTTGTCTGACCGTCTATTTGTTTGTTTCAAAGGAATTCAAGTCTTGACATAAAACTCAATCCACCCATGTCTCTTTTAAAAATTAATCAATTTCCAGTAAATCCATCAATATTTTAAATTGATTAACAGATTGGTATTCCAACATTTTAAAAATTGATTGCTTAGTACTTTTAAACTAACAAAACAAATAGCAGAAGCAGCTCTTTCAAATGCACAAAAATTTGATGAAGGGTTTCTTTTTCATTCGCTAAAAACGCACGGCACAGAGAATAAGAAGACGCACCGCATTAGGGTCCATATAGCCTATCCCTGTTGGCCCGTCCCCATCAACTTCACTAAAATATCAATAAATCAGATATTCTTTAAACCCCGTTTGAAAAATTTAACAAAAAACAAAAAAGGAAATAGCCAACCAGAATGAACGATTTAGAAGATAAGATGGCAGCCAAAATTGACAAGAATGTAATAATCTTTGTTGGACTTAATAATTTCATATATCGAGTGCTCTTAGACTCAAACGTTCCATTTTGCTGAATAGATCATCAACTATTACTGATCCACAAGGCACAAACGGCAAGTTAATTATTACACCTCGGAAAGTGTCTGTACATCAATATGTAAGTACTTGTCCTCATAAAGGAAGTAATTTGCAGCGAAGGTACACCCAGCATCAATGGAATTTTTACCAAAACCCATTGCGGTCGCTGCAATTTTTGCGGTCTTCCTCTACACTTTCTTATTGATATCAAGATTAATCGTACAAAGGAACAGAAGCAAGAAGAGAGCAGCGCCGGAAGCGGATGGAGCGTGGCCTGTTATTGGTCATCTACACCTCTTAGGAGGCCCAAAACCAACTTTCATGGTGTTAGGAAAAATGGCTGACAAGTACGGACCAATCTTCAGTATGATGATGGGGGTTCATCAAATTTTAGTGGTAAGCAGTTGGGAGATTGCTAAAGACTGTCTCACTACCAATGACAAAGTCTTTGCTAATCGTCCAAGAACAATCGCTTTGGAGCTTCTTGGCTACAACTTTTCCATGATAGGCTTTAGCCCATATGGCTCCTACTGGCGTCAAGTACGCAAGATAGCAACACTAGAGCTTCTCTCCAACCATCGGCTTGAGAGGCTAAAACATGTACGACAATCTGAGGTGAAAGCTTCGTTAAAAGAGTTATATGAGCTATGGGTTCAGAAAAGTGGTAGCTCGGATAGGGTTTTGGTGGACATGAAAAGAAGGTTTGGGGACGTACCCTTAAGGTGATTTTAAGGATAATTGTGGGAAAGAGAATTAGTTTGCAAGAGGGTGATGAGAGTAATGACAAATGGAAAGAGGAATTAACGAACTTTTTTGAATTGAGTGGTAAGTTCGTGGTGTCAGATGCTCTACCATTTCTGAGGTGGTTGGACATAGGGGGAATCGAAATATTAATGAAGAAATCGGCAAAAAAGTTAGACATTGTTGTTCAAGGATGGTTGGAAGAGCACAAGAGCAAGAGAGTTTCCAGCGAGATGAAGGAAGAGGAAGACTTCATGGACGTGATGTTATTCCTTTTGGATGATCCAAATGAGTTTCCTGATCGTGATGTTGATACCGTCATTAAAGCTACATGCCTGGTATGCCTCTAGTAACACATCAATAAAAGTTTTCTTTGCAGAGAAATAGTACTTTATCTCGGTTATAAAACTTCATTAAATAAACAACACCTCAATGCTTAATGTTACTATTCCATTGATCTATAAACAACAAGGAGCATATGGTGTCGAATTACGCATTTGGCCATATTTCAAGTCCAGTTTAGGCTTTAACCTAGTACGTATACATAATTGTAAAACCTTATCATTTCATTCAAACTTTAAAAATATATGCTCTATATAATCTGTATCATTTTGCAGGCTCTCATATTAGCAGCCTCGGACACCACAGCAATTACATTGACTTGGGCTCTCTCTTTACTTCTTAACAATCGCCATGTCCTGAAGAAGGCGCAAAATGAATTAGATGTCCAGATTGGTACGGGAAGGCAAGTAAACGAGTCAGACATGAAAAACCTGATTTACCTCCAAACCATCCTCAAGGAAACAATGCGTTTATACCCTGCTGCACCACTCGCCATTCCACACGAGTCTATGGAAGACTGCAAAGTTCAAGACTACCATGTCCCAGCAGGCACGCGTCTTTTTTTAAATCTCTGGAAGATTCATCGTGATCCTCATGTTTGGAAGGACCCCTGCAAGTTTCAGCCAGAAAGATTTCTTACGACCCACAAGGAGGTTGATGTTAGAGGCCAGAATTTTGAACTTCTACCATTCGGTAGTGGCAGAAGAATGTGCCCGGGAGTGTCATTTGCCCAACAAGTTATGCAACTTACACTTGCTGCTTTGCTGCATAGCTTTGATTTTGCAACCCCATTGGATGAAGCCGTTGACATGGGCGAAGGCTTAGCATTGACTCTGGAGAAAGCAGCTCCACTTCAAGTCCTCATTACTCCACGTCTCTCTGCTTCTTTATATGGTTGATTAACTTTGAAGATCAGTTTAATTTGTTCTATATTTTGGATTAACCTATTATGGATTTTTATTTATTTGTTATTAGTTGGGGAGTTATCATTAATTTTGTGATTTATAATTCCAGTTATTATTTGACAATCCAAAAACTAACGGTAATAACCTATTATTTGTTTTTACACTTTCATGAAGTGTAAAAACAAACATTGCGGGTGTAGATCAAAGTGAACAATTTCGGCTAACCTACTAGGCCCAAAGTGAAAGGAATTTAGGATTTTTCTTTAACCGGTAAGGGAAGGAAACGACAAGAGCTTTGTGAAGTAAATCGAGGCCAAACCCATTAGCTAGCGCCAGAGATGAGACTCGATGAACACCGATTACTGCACAATCATAGCACCCAATCGTGAGCATACCGGAATTGCAATCCAGATCCATTGTAATCCCCTTAGTTTCACTATTCTCTTTACACAAATCTTGTATAAAAACCCCCTCAAACAATGAGGAAGGGGTTACGAATTTCAGATAAGAATTGCATTGTAAGCTCTCACAGCAAATAAAAAAACACAGTGGACGTAGGCTGTTAACCTTGCCGAACCACTTTAAAAATCTCTTCACTTTTAATTCATTTCATTCATATTCATTTCTGATTTTCACTAATCATGCACACATCGGTTTCGATCCCGGCAAGGTCGATTAGATCACGCTGATTGGTGTAGAATTCTGTATCAACATTTTGGCACTAGAAGCAAGGCTCGACCAATATTTCAAAAATTCCGACGAACGTTCACTGCAATTTACCTATCCTAAGACCAAAATGGTGTTCACCAGATCGAAAACTAACACTGGAAATCACGAGAACGCGGAAATCACCCATTAGGAGGTGAAACAGGAGAACATTGGATGTCGACCACCTATGCCACCAGCCCAGCACACCGCAAACAACCAGGGGGTAGGGACATCAAATCCCAAGAACAACCAGCTGATGGAGATGATCAGAACAATGGTTACGCAAGTGGTGCAACAGAACGCGGCTGAGCTGAGGAACCAACAACCTATTGTCCAGAACCTTGACCAACTGCGCTTCGCCAATGCCACCCCAACAGGTATGAATTTTGCAGGTTGACAGTTCGCTTCGTCGCCGCCGAGGGGCAATCAACGCCTCCAACCTTGCAGGCAGCACTTCATGCACTAGCGTGAGTCCCGTGGACAAACAAACCCTAGGAGGCGACCAAGGAAGCAGCCGCTGAGGGCAAACGAAGGCGACAAACATAACCAAGAATCTCGGCGGTATCCCCAGCGTTAACTTGCCAGTTTTAACCCACGCCCAAGACAAGATCTTCGTGAGCCATTTGCGTCAATCTGGCAATGACCGATGTTCTGGTTATAACTGAAGTCGCGAACAATGCACTGACGAGCATGATAACACCTACCAACCTAACCATCATGACTAGACCTCACGCATCAACGCGTATGCCGGAGGAGCTTCACAAGCAACAGACTTGCGAACTCATTTGCTGGAGGTATAGCTTAACATACCCAACCAGGGCAACCAAAATGAAGACTTAGATCGCATGCAAAGGATGCTCGACAATCTAAAAGCTCGGTAAAACAATCTGGTGGAGAAGGTAGTAAGTTCCCTCTTTACGGAGGAAGTTCGCCAAGTCCCGCTCCCATAAAGGTTCAAGGCACTAGAGAGAAAGTTCGACGAAAGAGGAGACCCTAGGGATCACCTCGATAACTTTAATGACTTGATGGAGCTACACCAGGTCAGTGACTTAGCAAAATGTCGGTGCTTCGCAGTCACATTAGTTGGAGATGCCAAGAGGTGGTACAAACGGCTTAAGGCGAACTCCATCAACTCTTGGCAACAATTCTCTGTACTGTACTTACAGCAATTTTAGGTGAGGAGACAATTGGCAATGCCGCTCAGCTACTTAAGCAACATCCGCAAAAGTGAGATGAATCATTGACCTCGTATTTAACAAGGTTTCAGAACGAGAAGGCAAAGGTCGTTGATGCCCCGAAGTATCCATCAGGACTTTACTGATCGCCGTGATCAGACATAACACGGAGCTGGCGAAAGAACTCCAGAGTGAAGATCATGTGAGCTTGGCCAAATTCTACCAGATGGCCTCGAAATACCAGTGAGTAGAGAGCTCGTTAGCGGTACTAGCCAGAAGCTCTAGGGGGCCTCGAACAGAAGACAAGATCGCCCT